GTTCTATGTTCCATGCCAGTGAAACGAACACCAAATCATCAAAGAAAGGTATAACAAAAAAAGGTAGCAATCCTAAAAATGAACAGAGATGTATACCTTCTAGAATGATGCTATTTTTTCATGTATTGCCTAATTCACAAACGCTAACAAGGCGCTAATCAAACAGCTGTATACTTAAATCTAGCAGGTTGCAGTGCTGCAATAGTCTAAACAATAATCATTTTCAGTGAGTTTGTTGGCACCACATCTCCTTCTGGGATCAATGGGAATTAACATACCTTCAAGTCTGCCAGGAGCTCTAGGGTCCATATTGTCTTGCAGTACAAATTGTGATTCATCGTCAGGTGTCCCTGCGAACAGAACAAGACCAAGATCAATATAGTACAAAACACGCCTGAAAAAATCATAACCAGAAATTTGATTCAAACAAAAAAGACAAGGCTAGCTTATGCTAAATTGACATCTCGGATGACCACCGTTGAATAGCAGCATTCCAAGTCAAAATGTGCCCTGTGTATTCTGGACACATCATTAGGTGCCCGTACATGCCTGTAAAATCAGGAACCAACAAATCTGATTTAGAAAAAAAGAATTCAGGGCTACCTTGTGCTAACCTGTTGAGCCACGGCAAATCTGCAACTATGAAGAACCAGCGCACTTTACTCGCAAAAACAGATTAATGAACATCACAGCATGCATTTGAATATTTGTCAACCTTCAACAGGTGTTGTTTCAATTAGTATCTAGCATCCTACCTTGCTGAACTAATTAAACGACGTGCGTGGCTTCGAGTTGCTGAGGCGGTAGCTCATCCAGATCATTGTGTCCGCGCGCTAGAAGTGGGCAGATGGGGCTGGCTATGGTGTGAGCGCCTGTGCGAGGACCAGTGGACCGACGGCTGCCGCGTCCAGGCAGTGGCCTCGTGCGAGCAATGAGATGTGGCGTCCAGGAAAGCAATCCATCGAGGGTTGGGCGGGGCGGAATAGATTGAGATAAGAACAGGGAATAATACATTGAGATAAGGCCAACAAGGCCAGGGAGGAGACCTATGCGGACCTCGAACCCGAAGGGGCCGGAGGGCTCCACCACCGCGCCGCGGACTTGCACGCCGGCGGCCGCCCAGCCTGCACCCGATTCATGCTTAGGAATGAGACCGGTGTGGCCGGAGAGGCGAGGGGGTGAGGGCGCCTCGGCGCCGCGGGCTCGCGCGCGGTCTCCTTCGCCGGTGGCCGCCCCACGTGCGTCCACTTTGTGCTCAGGGAGGAGACATCTGCGGCCGGAGAGGTGAGGCAGAGTGAGCGGCGCGGGTTGGAGTGAAGGGGGCGGCGGGGACGGCGGGGATGGCATGCACCGGGCGGGGCTGGGGCGGCGGGGATGGCATGCACCGGGCGGGGCGGCGGCGGCGGCGGAGTTCGCGAGAGATGCGGGCTACATGCGCGTAGTACTTCCATTTTTTTTCAGGAGAAGACGGCAGGCCCGTAATTTTAGCCGTGAACACGCGCGCGTGTTGGACGCCGGATGGCAGAGTTTTCGTCCGCCCCGGACGATGTTTTCTTGTTTGATAATACTCCCTTCATTTCTAAATATTTGTTTTTATAGAGATTTCAACAAGTGACTATATACGAAGTAAAATGAATGAATCTACACTCTAAAATATGTCTATATACATTCGTATGTGGTAATCATTTGAAATCCCTAAAAAGACAAATATTTAGAAACGGAGGGAGTACTAGTGTAGATAGTGTAGATTAATAGTAGTGTAGAAGTGTAGATAACAAAAAAAAACTTTTAACGGAATTTCATTAAAAAAATTACCTTGTTTAACGGGCTGCATTGCACGGCCCATATATGCTCTGCATGTGGGCGATCGGCGCTTCAAGTTTGTACTCCCTCCGTTCTATAATGTAGTGCGTATAAGTTTTTTTTTTCAAAAGTCAAACATATAAACTTTAACCATGCTTATAGACAAAAATATGTACATTTTAAATACTAAAATGTAGTATGTCATTGGATACATAATCAGTTATTTTTTTTCATGTTGTATATTTTTGAATTGTATATATAAATAGTTTTCTTAAACTCAGTCAAAGTTTGATTAATTTGACTTTTCAAAAAACCTATACACACTACATTATGGAACTGAGGGAGTACTAAGCATGATAAAGTAGCACGCTCATGTTGTGTCATTTGTTCATCGTCTCGGATTGCGGCTTAAACATGTTCAAGACATATCAGAAGCTAGCTATAGTGCCATCATTCAGGAGATTAACCTCAGGGGCGAAAGAGTTTAAAGGTTGCCGTTTCAGTCATGGGGTTAAAAGTAGTAAACTTTGAAGCAGATTCATTAGTTAAATTGTCTCTGACTTCACAGTTTGGTTGCCATGGTTGTCTTGATACGCCACAAGATCAATTAATAATTTCTATGAACATTTTCTAACAGAAAAAGCACGTGAATATTGCAAATATCCTTATTTTTAATTTAGATTTTCTTTTCTTTTTGCAAATATCTTTAAAATACGTGAATATTGGCTGAAATCATGAACATTTTCTGAATTCACGAAAATTTTAAAAATTATAGAATATTTTTTCAATCATGAACATTTTTTTAAATTTTGAACATTTGTTTTCAAGATCATGAACATTTTCCTGAATTTAAAAACATTTTTCAAAATTTTGGAACATCTTTTCAAAATTAAGGAAAAACAATCATGAGTATTATTGGAAAAACATGTACTGTTTTTGAATCAGCCAACATTTTTTGAACATATGAACTTTTTCTGAAATTTGAGAACAATATTTCAGATTCAAAAACACTTTTGGAATTGTGTTAACATATTCTAAAAATGAATGAACATCATTTGAATTCACAAACATTTTGTTCAAATTCATGAACTGTTTTTGAATTCACAAACTTTAAAAAAAATAAACAGATTTTAATTTCCTGGAAAAAAAATCACAATCATACCCATATAGAAGGTTCTAGCGAGTGGACCCATACCCCCCTGAGCGTCCGCAGCTTTTTGGGCCGGCCCATATAGGGATTCCTCCCCACCGGTTTTGGGAAGATTCTAGAACCTTCCCAGAACCGGTTTTTATTGTTTATTTCTACCGTTTTTTATTTTGTATTTCCTTTTTCTTTTTACCTTTTCTGATTAATTTTTTCTTTTTCTCTTTTCTTTAATGTTCTGTTTCTCTTTTTCTGAAATCGTGAACATTTGTTTTTAAATTGTGAACATTTTTCTTTTTCTCTTTTCTTTAATGTTCTGTTTCTCTTTCGTTGAAATAGTGAATATTTTTTTGAAATCGTGAAAATTTTTCTTTTTCTCTTTTCTTTAATGTTCTGTTTCTCTTTTTTGAAATCGTGAACATTTTTTTGAAATAGTAAACATTTTTATGAAATCGTGAACATTTTCTTGAAATCGTGAACATCTTTTGAAATCGTGAACATTTTTTTTGAAATTGTGAACATCTTTTTTTTCTCTTTTCTTTAATGTTCTGTTTCTCTTTTTTGTAATCGTGAACATTTTTCTGAAATCTTGAACAGTTTTTGAAATCGCGAACATTTTTTGAAATTATAAACATTTTTTTAATAGACGAACATTATTTTTGAAATTGCAAACATTTCTTGAATCCTTGAGAATTTATGATTTCCTGAAAAAAATCTCAACCCAGCTTTCCGTTTATCGGCTCGATCAGGTCCAGCGACGAGGCGTGGGGCGTGCGCTTTCCGTTTTCTGCATGTCCTCGTCAGCACGGGGAAGGTGCTTTCCTTATATGGGAGAGCGCTCGGTCGAGCGAACGGGCGCCAGCTAGTCGGGTCCTTTATTTTCACAGGTACTCCCTCCGTAAACTAATATAAGAGCGTTTAGATTACTACTTTAGTGATCTAAACGCTCTTATATTAGTTTACAGAGGGAGTACTTGATATCATTTACAGGAAGAGATGAAACAGGTGAGGCAAGATTCTTTGCCTATGATGACGAGGCCTACAGGATGATTCAGAGAGATTGCGAAGCTGTACTGAACCCATTGGGCCCAAGGGATGCCCTGCCTCAGCCATTACAAAAAATCATAAACACCACATTTCTGCTCTCTGTTGACCTTACTAATGACTCATGCAAAACCACCAGATACAGACAATACCAGGTCAAAGCTGTTCTAGAAAGGCCACCAAAACAAACTTCAACTCAAAACGTTTCTGTGGATCAGTATGATCAACAGCAGCGAGCAGGTACGTCTACAGCCATGGAGAGTCCAGAGCGTCAAGGTGAGGTGCTTCAAATTGAATCGGGAACACAGCAGGTAAACAAATTCTAGACTCATTGAGCCCTTTTTTCTGGTTGCTAAAACTATTATATATACTATCATAATCATTATACTATACAAACCACAGACTCCACTACCAGCTCTTGACGCCGACAACGACACCTGCAAAGATGATGATACTAGGTACTAAGTATTCTAAACGCTCTTATATTAGTTTACAGAGGGAGTACAAAATAAACTCTTAACTGCCGATTATCTTTAATCCATAGACATATTTGCTACTACCACTCAATAGAATTAACTAACAGTTTTCCCGGTTTTGTTTCTATAAGATCATCGGGAATACAGCCTACTGCTCGCAGAAACCTATTTGGCCGTGACGATTCAGCAGACAAGCAGGTTAGCCGCATCGATTTACACGGTTCCAATTTTTATACACCGAACAATCACAATCCGAATTTGCGAAAGGGGATGGCGCCGGCGGGATTGGATTTGGATTTGGATTTGTACTTGCCCTCCCAATCCGAATAAAACTCTTGCAGTCTGGCTGGATCCCCTATTCCCCTCCCTCAAATAAACCGTCCCCCTTCACTAGGGAAGGGAAGGGAAGGGAGACGCCGGAGGCTGGAGGGGATTTGAAGAGACCGCCGTGCGGCGGGTCTGGATTTAGATTGAAATTCCACTGGAGGGAAGGAAGGAGAGAGAGAGAGATCTATTTAGGTTACCACAAGTCAATGGAGCGGCAGCCGGCAGTCCGGCGACGGCGAGCTCAAGACACTAGTAAGCCGACTCTTCTCAGTTTGACTTTTTTTTTTCTTGGTTTGTTGATAAAAATCCTATCTTTTCATGTTTGGGTAGGCTAAGGCGATGTTCGCATGGCAGAAAAAAAACATCTTTTTATAAGATTTCTGGAGGAATACCAACTATCTCGATCAAATAATGCTACTAGTGTATTCAACTGAATTCATTCGTTTAAGATCCGATATGAGCAAGCGTCTCCCTGTGAGAGCGGAGACATTGCGGTGACTACAGTGGCTGATAGGCCTGCACCGGATTGTTCCTTTTCCTTTCAACTAGAATGATGAAACTCGAGGGGGCTCTGCATGAAGAAAAAAAAAAGAACCTCACATACATGCTCAATTTAAGTTTTCGGTATTGTTGGACAAGTGTGTTGGTGTGCTTGCTAGATGCTGCTTTGTGCCTCAAATTCTGAATTATTTTTTCACTCAAAAAATTCTGAATTATTTTTAGCAATGTATGCTGTGCTCCAGATGGATTGGTTGCTTCACAGGCCAAAATAAATGTCTTGCCCTGTCAGCAAGATGATGATTCTCAGGGTGATTCACAGATGCCAAACCTTCCAGAGGTACGCTATGACATTTTGCTAACTCTAGGCTCAGTGCAAGTAAAATAATTCAGCCACTGCGCAAGGCTGCGTACTATAGACCCAAAGTGGTCGGACCCTTCCCTGGACCCTGCGCAAGCGGGAGCTACATGCACCAGGTTGCCCTTTTTTTTTTAGGCTCAGTGCAAGTAAAATGCCAGTGAACCATGTGTCACGATGGCTCCTAATCCCTTGCTTTTTACCAAGTGCATAATTAACTTTCAACAACAGATAGCATTTGCGACCATCCTTTGTCTTCCAAAGGAGCCTCATAAGTTGCCTTCAACAAATGGGCACTTCCCATTTACATTATCTATATAGGTCCCTACTTGCTTTGTCCTAGGATACCTCGAATTCTAGGACATATTATGTGGTAACCAAATGTCCCATCTAACCCTTCCTGCTTACCATATTTGGATTATTTGTTATATATGTGAATGTTGCCTTTTTAAACTGAGTTGGAGGCTTAGCTTGCCTAGAATCCTGTGTGTTTTGAAACAAAAAATTTGAGCGCTTGGATATTTTGTATGTCAGGACAGAGGGAGTATAATCATTTTACAGTTTAAAAACAAATGGTTGCTTTCTAGGTAGGTCATAACTTGTGTCTTTGTGGCATCATTAAGTTCCACACTTCCACTTGCTTAAGTCTTAACAAGTGTGGCATGTTATCTGCGGCGCTAGACCATTACCCTTGTAGTTCTAGGTTGATATTGTTTTATCTGACCTGCTCAATCCATTATATCCTATAAGTTCAGTTATTAAGGTTTATATCACATTTCTTACACTAGCGCAGCCAAAGTTGATCAATATTACAACAATTACATGGACCTCCTGTTTGTAAATGATGCACTATGGGTACCCTGTCCAGAAGTGCATGTTCTTTTGGATCGCACGCTGTTGTACAGTAAACATCATCCTGTCATCCTGTCCATCGTAGTTGGCAAAGAAGCGATTAAGTTGGCCACATGCCTGATTTGGGCATCTACATGGTTTTTTTAGTATATATATATATATATATATATATATATATATATATATATATATATATCTTGTAGTGTCTAATCAGGTCTGGCCACTGGCAGTTTTTTTTATGCTTCCATTTACCTTTATACTTCCTCCGTTCCTAAATATTTGTCTTTTTAGAGATTTCAAATGAACTACCACATACGGATGTATATAGACATATTTTAGAGTGTAGATTCATTCATTTTGCTCCGTATGTAGTCACTTATTGAAATCTTTAAAAATACAAATATTTAGGAACGGAGGGAGTAGTTGTGATGCTGAACTTATCTTCCATGCTTTTTTGCATGCAGGACATTTGGCGTCACATACATTCCCTGATGCCAATGCGAGATGCTGCCCAAGCTGCCTGTGTCTGTCATGCTTTTCTACGTTCCTGGAGGTGCCATCCCAACCTCACTTTTTCTGGCACAGCATTGGGTATGAATAAAAAGACTTGTGTAAATGATGAAATTGCCAGAGACTTTCGTAGCAAGGTTGACCAGATCCTGAAAAAACACTCAGGCATTGGTGTGAAGAAACTTAAACTTACGATTGACATGATTCAATATTACACTGCCAAGGATTATTGTTATGTCAACAGTTGGCTTCTGATTGCTGTCACACCAGGAATTGAGGAACTTACACTCCAACTGTCTATGGGGGAATACAATTTTCCATGCTCACTTTTGTCTAATGGGAGTGGAGAGTCAATCCGTTATCTCCATCTTTGTGGTTGCTCCTTTCGACCCACAGCTGAACTTCCTTGGTTAAAAAGCTTGACAAAAGTGCGGCTTCATGCTGTCCGTTTTACTGGGGATGAGTTAGGGTGCCTTCTGTGCAATTCTTTTGCTTTGGAGCGGTTGGTTCTCACGCATTGTGATGAGATGGTTTGCTTGAAGATCCCTTGCATGCTGCGCCGGCTCAGGTACCTACAGGTTTTTGGCTGTGAAGATCTGCGAGCGATAGACAACAAAGCTCCAAATATATCCAGCTTCTTGTACAGCGGAGAACGCATTCAACTGTCACTTGGAGACACATTGAAAATGGAGTACATACACTTGTATTTCGGACGTGCACTTCATTATGCTTGTGTTGAACTTCCATCCAGCATGCCAAACCTCAAAATTGCTAATATAGATTCGAGAAGCGAGGTATGCTCCTAAAGTTTTAGCTTAATGATATGCATATCATGATACAGCAGTCATACCTTGAGTAATTAACCTGACATGTTTATGCAGATGGCCAATACACCAGTGCCGCGCAGCAAGTTTCTCCACCTCAAGAAGCTAATTATTAGTCTTGACATAATAGCCTTTTCCTATGATTATTTTTCTCTAGTTTCCTTGCTTGGCGCTTGCCCCTCCTTGGAGACACTGGTCTTGGATGTAAGTTGCTGTTGATATTTCTGTGATTCTAATAGCTTGTCCCTTCTTGGAGACACTGGTCTTGGAGACACAATAACAGTAGTATAATTTCCCCCCTCCTTTTTCGCATCTTAGGTATCCAAGGAGAAAATGGAGCATGTCTCCATATTCACAGATCCCTCAGATCTGAGGAAAGGACAGCAGCATCACAAGATGAAGAGAGTGAAGATCCTAGGATTCACATCTGCAAAGAGTCTTGTTGAGCTTACTTGCCATTTTCTTGAGAGCATAACATCACTTGAATACCTTAGGCTGGAGTCGTATCAGAGTCGTCCAAGGTGTTGTGTGCCTGCTAACAAACGTCGCAAGTGCTTCCCACTGCCCATTGATGTTCTGAGGGAAGCTCAACGAGGACTCTTGGCTATCAGGACATACATTGAGCCTAAAGTCCCTTCCATGGTAAAGCTACGTGTGGTTGAGCCTTGCCGCCGTTGCCATGCTGCTGTTGAACTTTAGATTAGATGTGTAACTCATGATTACTCAATGTTTTATTGTCTGGTCTTTGGAAGTGTCATTGTTTCTTGAAGCTATATCATCAGAAGTCCATTTTGTAGCCGGAAGTATACTAGACAGTATTCTTTTACATATGCTTGGAACCTTGGCCAACCCTAGGTGACGCCGCCGCCGCCATGTTGGTATGTTGTTTTGAAAATGTTGTCATATGCTTGGAACCAGGTTTTTTAATTGTGTCCAGTGAAGTATACTAGACAGTATTCTTTTACATGTGCTTGGAACCTTGGCCGCTAGCCGTTTCGCATCTCTTCTTTAATATATACGTAATATGCATGCTCGTGCATATTCGAGAGAAAAAAAAAGCCGTCGTCGCATCCATGGCGTTCCTGGAGGCCGAGCTGTTGGAGCGCCTGGAGACCACTCCGGCACCGGCAGGGGACCTCGTGCTCATCGGTGCCCTCCTGGCGTTGGTTCTTGCTCGATCTACTGCCGCGCACGTCGTCTTGTTGGACCGCGTTGATTGACGATTCCATTCCAGCAAGGCCGGCCGGCAAAGCTGCGATGGTGTACAGTACAGACTCCCACCGGTCGAGGTGCTCTGGTGGCAGCCGGCACCTGAACTGAATGAATGAGCTGATGAGCGGCCATTGCCTAGACGTACAAAGCTGGAGCTTTTTTTTTTTACAAGTCTAAACGTATAAGCGTATAAACATTTAGATACATTAAAACTGAGCACCTTTCCAGCCCTCTCAGGCTATTAGCACTTTCAGCCTTTGGATCATCAGTTTTCGGCCGTCAGATTTACTTTTAATCCCGCCTGGAATCATTGTGTTCGCTAAAACCGAGTGTTTCCTTGCTGTGCCGCTGCTCCCGTGACTATTTTGGACGCCTGGTGTGAAATTGGGCCTGATGGGCTTCTACGAGTCTCCTTCCGTGCAGCCACACCCCACACGACGCTCCTTTCGTCTCTCTGACTCTCGCGCACGACCTACCCTTGCCAACCCTAGGTGACGCCGCCGCCGCCATGTCTTCATCTCGCAGCCCCTCAACTGCCCCGTGGGAGCGGCGTCTCCGTCTACGCCTACTCGCCGCTGTCCTCTTTCTCCGGTATTCCCTAAAGGTGAAGCAGGGAGCATCTTTTTCTTGAGTTGGCATGAGCTCCATCCCCAAATCAGTGGCGCACTACATCCCTGAAGCATGTGTCCGAGTTTTCAAGCCATATCTGGAGTTCTCGGGCGCGCCGTCGCCAGATCCACCATGTCGAGCAACCAGCTGGAGGTACCTACAGATATCTGACCAGTTTCAATTGGGGGCCTCTCGGTTCGGAAGGGCTCAGGGAGGGCGTCACTTCGAGGGTCTGGAATGGCTCTAAAGATTGGTTCCTTCAAGTGCAACTTCCAATTTATTCTTCATGTGACTTCTTTTTTTATAGATCCTTTGTACTAGATGTCAACAGAAGGTGATCAGTATATTAGAGACTTCAAGAAATTTGAATCGGATCTCACAACCTCATATCTCTCTCTGTCTCTCTCGGTTGGTTAACAAGTTGCCCTGGTATTGATGTTTATTAAGTTTCTCCCAATGTTTTTCTTTTGTTTCTCTACATGTTAGGCCAACGAAGGTTTACAAGTAGGTACAAATCTTCAGAGACTCATCTTCTTGGTAGGCAAAGAATAAATTTAAGTTAGTATTTCTTAGTTAATTAAACACCAGGTCCGGAGGGTTGAAACAGATTCAGAGCACTGAGTTATGGTGGAGCTGATGTGTTCTTTCTATACGTATTCCCTGGGAGATGATCACTTAATCTGTAAAATTTGATGGTGCCCGCTGGGAGTTCATGCAGATTTGTTTCCTCATGTGTAGTTATAAGTTATCTGTTCACAAACGTTCAGCTGCTGCAGTTGATGCTTGGTTATTGCAGTACATATGTTAACTCTAAACTGGCCAATTGATTCAGTAAAACTACTTTTTGTTTGACTGTAGCTTCAGCAAGGGTACTCTTATTTCATGACGCTATATACTGAACCACTGGTTTATTGCTCGAATTGTACTACACTCTTAATTGTGATTTTTTTTGAAGCAAATTTCATGTCTGCTACTTATGGGAAATTTAGATAATCGTAGGCTTTTCAGAAGCTTTCGACCCTAGAAAGCTCTTAAGAAGCTGCACTACATGAATATGCGGATATTACATGTATGTTTTTCTTTCTTTAAATTTCCGATGCTTATGAATCATCCATGTAAGTAGTTAGCATGTATGGAAGATAATATATGTTTTGATCCGTCGAGAGGTGCTTTTTCACTCCCATTTCATTTCGGCTTTGCCTCCAAAATATTTCATTGCTTCTTGCACATCTTGGCTACTTGATTTCTGTAACTTTTTGCAGTTTCATTTCATATTTTCATGTAAGATGTGTGCTACATTAAGTTCTTTATTTTTTGGCTTCATTACATTGTAATCTCATGTTTTTTGGCCATTAAAATAGTAGCCACCTTTTACAATGGAACTAGACACTCTTTGCTCATTTTACAAATGATTTTACCTGACATAATGTAGTACACATTTTTGCAGGAACTATTGTAAGACATAGCAGAAGAATATAAGTCAATGTAAGATGCCATGAGAAACCAAGAGAGGGAATTAAGAACATGTGATAAACATAAGAAAAAGAGGACGCATAGCAGTGGTCTTTAAGAGCACTATTGCATAGATAGGATGATGTTTACCTACAACCACCGTATTCTGTGTATATTTGAATTTCAATCTCTGCCAACTTACAAGTGGTTCAAGATAAGAATATGAGGGTGTATAAGCAGGATAATAGGATAATATGCCATGGTGGACCACACTAGCTTATCCAAGTGCTCTAAGATATTAGCGTATGCGTGAGCTTTGCCTCGTATGAAGTCCATCACAATTGAACACAGTTCAGTTTGTTTTTTTAACTTACAGGCTTACAGCTACTAACTTTATCTTATCCGCTCCATTTTCTGGCAAACTAGGTTGAGAAAGGCATGATGTTGTCGGTTGTGTATTCTAAATGGGTTGCTGTGGTGGATGGAGTAGCACGACTTCGAGTTCTTTGCATGCCAAAGAAAAAAAGAATTGCACATTCTCAAAACTTGAGACATGGAGCTTGTGGAAGACTTTTCAATTTGTATTCAACCCATGATACAGTATGAGCATGGCCATTTTTAAGTATTTCTCTTAAATATACTCCTTTGTTGGTTTGCAGTTATATTGTGGAGACCAGATGCAGAACTCATATATCAAAAAACCGAGAAGGATTCTTGATGGCCCCCCTTCCCCCTCTCCTCCCGCTCCCCTCCGGCGACACAGCACCACCCAACACCACCACCATCTCTACCCCCTCCCTCCCGGCTCTGGCGACCGCATCCTTCCATGATCCCCTTCGTTGGAATGACTCACCCACCGACAAGGCTCTGCGGGCCGCGCTCGGCGTTGGCGACGCAATGGGTGAGGACTTCCACGCGCAAGTGTGGAGATGCCTCTCCATGCACATCAACCCGCGCCGCCATGAAGCTCCATGCTTCCTCTCTGTGCGCGTCCACCACGACTCGCTCGACCTCGATGAGGATCTCGTAGCTGTCCTCATGCAAGCCTGCCTGGGCGGCAACGCTCCCGCCTTCCAGGTGACCCGCCTTCAGGATCAGCTCTTTCGCATCTCTGTCTCTCACAACCGCATCGTTCAAGCTCTCATAGCCGAACCCATTCTCACTGCAAAAACCCACTCCATCCAGTTTCTTCCTTATCCACCGCCACACAACGCCACTCACCAACCTCCCATTCATCGAAGAAAAATCTTTGACATCGGTGACCGCTTCGGCCATGCTGACGCGTTCCTACGCTCTCAACTCGGGTTCGTCCCCTCGCCCGGAGTCGATTTCGAGCTCAATATCCTTGAGCTCTTCTCATCCAAGGTTTTCAAGATGCCAACGGCCTCGGCCTCGTCCAGCTCTATCATCTTCTTCGTCCACAAAGCGGACTTCATGGTCGATGAAACTCTCGTCGCCACTCTTCTCTCGTTCCGCTTTGGTGGACACGCGCGCTCCATCGCCGTTCTCCGTCTGTCCAACGCTGCCTTCGCTGCGCCGATCTCCTCCAACATCGTCGCAACTCTCATGGCGGCATGCTCCCCAATTGTGGCGCCTCGCCTGTTCGCCACCATTACGGTTGCGCCTCAAGGCTCACCGGCATCGCTGCCTGGGCGGCCATCATTGCCGCTCCGCTCAGCATCGGCGCTCCCCCGCATCATCGTCAACGACCAACCACGCTCCCCTCCCTGCATGTCCCCCATGCAGGTGGGACCAGCTGCCTCCAACGGTCAGCTACACGCTGGGCCTATTGAGACTTCCGCACCGCTCTCTGCTCAGCGATCGCATGCAAAGGTACGACCGTTCGGACCGGGGATCTCGTTTAATAAGCTGATTTTCTCTAAGTACCACTGTCTTGTCACCACTCCCAGCACATGTTTAACCCACAAACCAACCACCCCTATATGGATTGTATTCTGTTCTAAATCAGTGTGTGCTAATGAAACCTTGATTAATAATGCTCTAGACCACCAATTCTCGTTTCAACGGGCCTTCCACGCGACCACGCTAGCTCCCAACTTGTTTCTAGTGCATGTCTACTCGGACCAGGTCAGAACTGAAATCCTCCGTGTCGCGACCATCCTTTTTTCAAATTTTGAGCTTCAACTATTTGACTCGTTTGACCAAGCTACGCAAATAGTGCGATCGGTACCGCTGCCTGTACTGTCTGAACCGGACTCAATTGGACCGTCCGTGCCCGTCCTTCCCACCCACCGCACGTCCTTGCTTGGACCGCACCCGTCAACTAAAATACTAACACCAGATCTATCTCACCTGCACGCCAAGATTCATGGCACTATTCACTGTGTGGATTCCACCGCTGCTGACCATGTTGACCGCAATGCTTCGATGGCCTGGGACACATGTGCCACTCACCTGGATCGGCC